TAAATATAAATATTCAAAATTACAGTAATGGTAATTTAAACCTTCAAAAGTTCACTTTAAATTTTACCCTTCTAGCATTTTTAAGGAAGTGAAGATCGAACATCAATTTTGATTCGAGGACAACATAAATTATGTTAGGGGATTTTTCATAGATGCCGCTGAATTTGAAAAATACACAAAAAGATGTTTCTTTTAACAATGGTGCTAAAAAATGTCACTTTTTGTGTGAAAGGTCAAAATTACCCTTAGTGATATCTTTTTGGGAGTATTTAATGAAATCCATAAATATTATGATGTAATGATTTAATTTGTGTACTATAAAATTGAATATATATTTATTATATTAGGTAATATGAAGTTTTCAATAAAAAAAAATGTTGAAAAGTGAGCATAAACTGATTTCTCCTACCTAATACAAACCCTAACTTTCTTAACATCTTTTCTGTTCTTTTATCAAGAAGAAATTATTATTAAATTTATCTTCCATTTTGAAAGGTTAGCATGTTAGAAATTATTTTTATCTTGTAACAAGTTACTTTTGAAATGTTAAATACAATACGATCATATTTTTTGAAATTTTTGAAATTATTATTCATTCTGATTTTTCTTGTTTTGTTTGCATATTGTTCAAGGAGATTTAATTGGTGGGCATGATAAAATTCAGAGTATTTTTCCTACAATATTTGGGGATTTGGCGAGTGAAAATTATATACGATATTATAAATTTTTCATAGAATGGAAAACCTTGACAATTAGTAAATTATTTTCATCTTTTTTATATTTTTTGTCTCTTTTTTTTCTCTTCATTGATTTGTGTGATTTTTTAAATCTTTTGGAACAAAGATACCACTAATATCTATCGCTCTAGATATTGATAAACTGGAACTAAATGATGGAACACTTGTATTAGCATCCAAATAACTTCATGTATTATCTGAATTTGTTGAAATATTTCTTAAAAAAGAACTTTAGGAAGTAGAATTGGCTTGACCTCATTTTTCAGCGTAATAGTTATACATTTCATATAATGTAGATTCTACATGTACATATGATAATTCAAAAATAGTGAAATTTGAAATCCTCTTTATAATAGCTTTTGTACCAGTTAAATTAAGTTGATGGTCCATCACCCAAGCTAAAAGAAAAAAGAGAATAGTTCTTTCCAATATTTACAAAATTTTAACCCCATAAAGTAGACTACAATAATAAAAATTGACAAATTTCTATATCTATGAAATGTAGAAAAAGTGTTGTAAAACAAGTGAAAATGTAGGGTAATAAACATTGCTATATTCCTTTGTAGCATCGAAAAAGGTTTTTTAAATTATTTTTTCACACAATATGCAATAGACCATTCACATTCTCTCAAATTATGTTCGGATTCATTTGTATACCTACCATTATAATACAGTGAAATAACTTTATCATAATTTTCACACGAATGCAACATAAGATATTTAAAGTTTCATTTATGTGTTACATCAGTGACAAATGATTTCTCTAATAAGTCATACTCTGCACAAAAAAGTTAAATGCTTGCTTTCTTGTTGGCGATAGAGTAATAAAATTTATTATTTGTCTAATTTTATCTAAAGACAATTTTATATGTTATAATCCATTTGTTACAATCAGATTGATAATATAGCATACATAACGTTGATGAAAAATAAGCTTCCAAATGCATGGTTAAGATCATTAATAAATTTATCGATAACAAGTTTGTTCACTAGCATTATCAAAAGTAAAATTTCGAACAATTTCTTCATATTTTTATATAATATCTTTTAGAACCATGAATATATTAGTTGCATTATGAGGATATTTTATACATCTAAATGCAATAATCATTTTATTTAGAAGCCATAAGTGATCAATGTAATGAGCCGTAACAGTAATATAATTTTTTTGTTAACATCGGCCCATAAATCAGAGGTAAACTATATAATATTATTAAAAAAATTTAGTTGTTCAATAGCAACTTGTTTTCTTTTGTTAAATAATTTTACAGTATCTGAATGAAAAATATTTCTACAATAAGAGGTATACCTGGGTTGAAGATAATTCTGCACGAGTGGGTAACATGTATTGGGTCATCATCGTAAGCAGCATCTCTGATGCAGCCAGGTATGCAGTCATTTCTTCATTAAATATTTCCTATGAATATACAAAGGTGAAAATAGTAAAACTAGAACCAACAAACACTAGGCCGGTTTGTTTTGGATTGAGATTAACTGGTTTCGCTTTGCAACTCATTAATACGTGCCTATTCATATGTATTGTATTTGAATTGAGCTTTCAACTAAGTTCTTTTGTCATAGTAATTGCAACATACTACCAACTTTTTACGTGTCATATGTTGCCAACAATATGGGGATTTTTTTCGACCTTTTAGTAATCTCGATTACTTCTTCCTCTTCGATAATTTCCAAATCAATTGAAATATTTCGAGATGTATTATAGTTAGTTGGAGTACTTGAACTACCCTTAAACTGACTAATCTCATTGCTAGTAAAATCCACCTGTATTCTATTGTTATTATAATTGAAGATACTAAATATTAGAGTAAAAGAAGCTGGAATACTGCAAGTTAAAACTGATTGAAGAAAATTGATATGAAACTAAAAAATTTAACTCATATTTATAGCTAAAAAAAATATAATCGTTTCAACTAAATTTGAAATTCAAATTTAAAATTTGAATTTTCAAATTTTATCTGCCCCTCCACCATAATTGCTGCCTTAATTGGTAGCAAATCTGTTGGCATTTATTTTTTATATTTTATTATTTTTTAAAGGCTCGACCGAGCGGTGTGAGCTTGAGCCGAGCCCCATTTCGACTCTATTCCTTTGAGCCACGAGTCGGGTTGGCTCAGGCCTTTCCCGAGCCGTCCGAACTGGTGAGCCAAATTTACACTTCTAGTTGTCCATACTTCTTGCACTTTATCTTCAGTCCAATTCTACTTCTGTTGCTCGAGGCCTCTCAGCCCTTTTGGTATAGAAAGGTGGCATCAATGGTGTTGTCTTGCGTTAGGCCACAATTTTGGACCTGTCATAGGAGAAGTGGTAGCTAAATATGTCCTCCCTCATGTAAGGTTCCTTCTTATGCGAATTGTCGACATAGTCCAACTGTGGGATACTCGTCGAATCGAGTGAAGCAATTACATGGCCACATGGTATTCCAGTGAGCCATGAACATCCTTTTTTATCTGAAGTCCATAGCATTAATTATCATTGTAGTGTGCCTAACTTGGAACTTCTAGTTGGTTACGTGAATACAATGCAAAATTATTTCCTGAAAGATTGCAATTCTTATCAAGAACTTTTGGTTTTGCTAAGATATGTGTTCTTGATGTAGTTTATCTGGGGAAGAAAAAGTTGTATTAATTATTGTTGATTATAATGGAAGATTATTTAGAATTGTGCCGTAGTTGTAGCTATATTGCCGAACCATGTTAAATATTCATTTATTTCACACATTCTTCATTTGATTATTGCTCTATTTGATTAATTATCTCCTATTAGGTTTGCACATAGAGATGACAAATTGGCTCGCGGGCTTGGTAAGCCTGTAAAAAGCTCGATCCTCGAGCCAGTTGGCTCGAGGCTCAATTTCATCGAGCTCCATCTTGGGGTGTCAGGCCGAGCTCGAGCCGACCCATATGGTTGGTGGATCGGCTTGAAATTTAAAAAAAAAAACGCAACTGCCTTAGAAGCAGCAGGATGCTGCCTTCATCATGAAAATAATCGAGCCGGCTCTACTCGACTCTGGCCAAAAAAGCCCTACCTAAAGAAGCTCGAGCTGAGCTTCGATTTTCACAAGCTTGCTCGTTGACACCCCTAAAGAAATGAGAAATTGTTTATTCTGCTGCATTCTCGCTAGATGTCATATTAGATATTGGCCTAATTTCCCAACACTAGGTTGTTTAATTGAGAGCATTTCCCAGAAACTTTATATTTATAGAGAACATCTTATTTATAATAGAGAATATTTTTAAATTTAGAGAATAAATTTTTTTTATGCATTCCAATAATATTCTCTAATTCGATTCTTCATTTTGCTTTTTTTGGAAGAATACAACCAAACTCCTTTATCTTAAAAATAAAATAAAAATCTTAGAGTTTATTTTTAATCACTACTTTTTAAAATAGAATGCATCTCATATTTAGGAGTGAATTGTCCAAATGGTCATTGAACTTTGCAAAATATTTTCACAGGATCATTAAACTTTAAAAATCACTTAAATGGTCACTAAACTTTGTAAAAGGTTTCTATGGAGTCACTAAACTTTAAAAATCACCTAAATAATTACTGAACTTTGTAAAAAGTTTTCACAAGGTCATTGAACTTTGTAAAAGGTTTCCCAAGGGTCGCTGAATTCAGTGACCTTTGAGAAACCTTTTGCAAAGTTTAGTGACCATTTAGGTGATTTTTAAAGTTCAATGACTCTGTAGAAACCTTTTGTAAAGTTTAATGACTATTTAAGTGATTTTTAAAGTTTAGTAACCCCTTAGAAATCTTTTACAAAGTTCAATGACTATTTAGACAATTCACTCCATATTTAGAGTATAATATTTACTCAGGGATGTATATAAGGGGATTGGGCTGGGCTCAGTCCCCAAACCATTTAATTTTTTTAGTGCAAAAAAAAAAATAGAAATATTTTATTATAAAATTTTTTATTTATTCATTCATTTATTTTTTGACATATTAGCCTCGCTTGTAGTTCGGTTCTGAATTCGTACTTGAGTCTGTTGAAGATTTTCTAAGGCATATTGTTATTTTACTCTAATTATTGTTGTATAATATGTTATAGGAATCCAAAAAATATCCTTGTTTGCCCCATTTTAAGACTCATTTATAATCACGCATTTCATACGACCTCACAACTTTCATCAATTTTTCAACCACACATTTCACTAATTTTTGTTAAAATCTAATTTTAATCCACATCAAATAGAAAATTTTGGGGAAGAAAACAGAATTGACAACTAATTGTATGGTTGTAGACATTTCTACGTAATAATCTCTTTTAAAAAGAGTTTTTGGTGCCAATTTCATTATCCTACCAGTGTTCACATAAAGTGGATATGACAGTGACTGAAATCGATTTTTGTATAAACCTCTTACTTTGTTCACGATATACAATGTTGCCATCAAGGCTTGAAGAAATTGGCATCTAACCCATTAGCTATTAGTGTACTCAACGATGAAACGACTAATACTATGCTGAGCAACACACCCAACGAGCCGAGACCTATGTTAAGGCACCACATTGGACTAATTGCCCGAGGTTTCTTCATCGCAATCCACATGAAGCATGGATAAGACAATGTCAAAGGTAATATTATTGCGCCGATGAGTAAACCCAAACTTCCCAAAAAGGGGAATGCCACCGAAATTAAATATGTCAATCCTCCAAAGAAGACTCGGATTGCTGATCGGACCCATCGAGGGCACGGTTCGTTTTTCTTCGTAACGTAAAGGCGCTCTAAGTTGTCAAACACTACCATGGCATAAACTTGGAATGCACACATGTAGTGTATCAACATTGTCAAACATATTGTACCAATGACATATTTTGACGTGTTGTTTTTGTGGAATGTCATTAATGCACTTAAAATTCCTCCATTAAAGGGTATCTGAGGATGGAAAAAGTTAAATTTCAGTATCAATTAGAACAATTTTTCTATATCTATGTATCTGATTATAAAAATCTTACCATATTTCCATAAGCCCAATATCCAACAATTGCAATGGGAAATAGACACATTGCTATGAGTAAATATGATATTATCACTCCTCTCCACATAGGCACTCGCGATGGACGTTTTAAAATCGAGCGTATTGTCCCCTGCATCAGTAAATCATTTTAGTTGGCTTTTAAACTCGACGAAACATGCTAAAATATGGGTACATGTTAAGTTTCTCAATGAATACCTGTATTTCAAGTACAACATTGTGACCTCTGAATACGAGAGCGATGTATCCTATACTGTTCAAGGCATTACGAATTCGGACCATACTAGATGTTGATGCGTCCGAAGGGTCATGGGAAATACCTTTTTCCGGACCCTTGGTGACGGATAGAATCCATATCATGCTACAATATGTGACGGCCATAATCGAACCAATAAATGAAACCCGGGACAGAGAGTACAAATTTGGAAAGAACTGAGACAACAAAATTGACAAGCATACAAACACCAAGAACCATTGTGCACCGGTTAATGTCCGGTCATTGCATTGCAAATTATCGCCACATATGACTTTGTAGAAAAGTTCCATGATCCATCCCCCATTGATTATGAATAAGACGCACGTGCCGCCTGACAGGTACATTGTTGGGAATATAGCCAGCAACTTCCCTAATTTTGGACCTAAAATCAAAGCCAAGCATTAGTGTCACGTTCAAAATTCATTGTTAAAAGAAAAAATAAAATAATAACAAAAAATGTACATGAATTTTGGGATTGTTTAGTCTGACCCGAAAAGCTCGTGATGCGACATATGTGACGAAATAAAAAATATAAGATTTTTTGAGAATCTATAGAGGTAGCAGAGGGATCGAATATGTGGTGGGCCTATTTTATCATTCTTGCGCGCCGCACATACACAAATATACACACACACATAAGATGAGCATCGGTGCTTATCATATATTAAGCACCGATAACACGTCATATATAGATACATGCTTGGTTTTATTGTATTATTCAGAGTAGTTGCTAAAACACATTTTTTCTTGTACTCATATTTGATATAATGAATTTATCTTCCTCTATGCTATGATTTTTTATCATCTAGGATTTTCAAAAAAAATACGTGTGTTTTTGTTATTATTTTCTATTGCTTCTTATTGCTTGTACAAAACATGAGGTTCTATTTGGACAAGTTGTAATAGTTACTTCGTCAAATAATTTGTGAAATTGATTTATGTACGTATAGTTAAATAAAAATCCCTCGTCCTGGATTATTTAAGGCTTATAAAGAGAATAAGAACAATTAAGGCCCTGTTTGAGTCACATTCTTTCAAACAATTATATTCTTAAATAGTGATTTAACATCATTTCAATCACACATTTTTTAATAAAATAATATTACACGTAAATAAAAAAATTTACTCATTTTTTAATCACAAATTCTTTATCAAACTACTATTTCTAAATACATTCTTTCAAAATACTATGTTTCAAGACACATTAAAGAAAGACAATTTATAAATAAGTTAATGACACTAACCAAAAGCTACCATAGAGATGTGGAGAAATCTGCTGTAACGAATTCCATTTGCTGATTCGTGAAGATGCACTAAAAGCCATGTAGTGTAGAGCTGCCACGAGAATGCCATGCACAGAAGAACAATGCCCCATGACCTGCACCCAAAACTTATTAAGCCCATATATTTGATATAAACTAAAATTAATTTTTTAGTAGATTTTAATAAAAATTGATGAAATATGCGTTGAAAATTTGTGGATCAACTGAAATATATGAATAAAATTAATTATTGACTTTTACATAAATTAAAATTTTAATACTTCGCAAACGGGACCCATATAAACATTATAAAAAGAGCAAAGCTACATGTACAGAAAAATATTGTATAGAACTTGGTCAAACAACACACAACATGGAGTGGGTGGGTGATTTTTTGACATTATTTTATCACTCACATGAGTAATCTGATGAACTTCTGTAAAATCATTTCTGTACAAAGAGCGTAAGGCTTATAAAAATGGATCAAAATAAAGAATTACATAATCCCAAATAAGCAAGGTTTTAAATATATTAATTAGTCTACGCAAGTCAATTCCATTGTCTTGGGAACGTGATAATGAAAAGTTGACCTTCTTGAACATCGTGATCATTTTAATAATGCTAAGCGTGATCAAGTTCTATTTGTCTCTCTCTTCATTTCTTCAAATCATCAGACTGAGAAAAACTTCGTTGGAACGGTAGAATGTGTTTATTTTCTTTCTTGACCGACCATATTTAATTTTTGTGTAAAATATGAAACACAAATAGACAATTTTATAGTAAAAATCTAGATAAATCAGATTCATGATTATCCTTCTTTTGGAGACCAGTTGCCAAGAATTTAGATAGAAAAATATATAGATGTGATCAACTGAATCAGAGTTTTGCTATAGTAACACTCGAAATGACTTGTTGGGTGACAGAATTACCTAATGACAAATCATAATTGATTGGTGGAAAAACCATGACTCATTGGGTGACAGAATTGTCAAATAGCAAATCACAATTGGTTGGTGGAAAAACAGTTTTTCCACCAACAAACATAGAATTGGCAAGTGGCAATTTGGTCACCAAAAATGTCATCCCGTTGGTTAAAGTAGTAAAACTGGATCAACAAGACGAGGTAAATATGTCGTCCAAATCTCGTATCGACTCTCCCTTGCAGCACCATCTTAAGTGTGTTATCTTAAGTGTGTGATCAATTTAAAGTGCCAAACATAATATATTAAGATACGAACTTACCATCCTAGTGCGATGAATGCCATGGGAAGTATGAGAACTTGGACTCCAATTCCAGAGCATAATAAATGCATTGCAGCAGTAAAAGCATTACCCTTTCTGGATTCTGTAATTGGTAGCCAAGATTCAAACCCTTCAATTGATGGCATTTCTGAGTTTTGCAGAGATTGTTGATTAATATTTTCATTGCCAATTTCCTCGTCAATTGGTGCCACTCTTGCTGATGAAGATACCGTTTCGAAGCGCACATTCACCACCTCCGCCATGACAACCACCGTGGAACAGACACTCGCCGCCGTGCTCTCTCTCTCTCTTTTTCTTTCTCTTTCTCTCGCCGTATAGAAAGAAGCACAATGCATTAGCAATATGTATGTGTGTGTGTGTATATATATATGAAGATATGTATAATTAACGAGACCAAATTTGCATTTTACGCCCCTGAAAATTGACAAATTAGGTGCAGTTAATTTGGAAAATAAGCATTTTTTGATGTGATGTCATGGTTTATGTAATCTTCCGACGTCACATTCTAGTTCATCAATGATGACATACACATACCTAAAATAGGACTGAGCTGCTTTGCCAGTATAACTGTATAAGGGTTCTCACAAAGATGGGGTGGGGTGGGGTGGGGTGGGTTGGGATATTGGGGGTATTTTTTAAAGGTTGAACCCCAACTTTGAGGGCCTTATCGTTCCATCTCTGGATATTGTGAGGGAGATAAATAGCCGGATGTGCTCCAACAGGCCGGGGAATAAGGGTTTGTCTGTATACTAACGTCCACAAAAAGTTCAATTACATGTCTCAAGAATCGAACTCTCACACTGTGACCACTTGAGGTTATACCCCGTGGGGCTTATTAGGGATATTTTTTAATGAGGCATGGGATCCATTTCACGTGAGTGGCCTGTAAAAGGTCTGTGAAAGTCGAGCCTAGCAGATCAAAATTATTCCCTAAAATAACATCTTTATTCTTTTTGACAATGCTATTCTCGATCTTTACCTCACATTATACACGACGACAATGGATTGCTTAAAAATAATAAGTTGAGGACAGCATTTTTTTCATTAATATTTGAGTAAACTTTGGTGGACAGAATTCTTCTTGGTTGGTCATATAGCATATTAAATAAAGAAAATATTACTTTCCATTAAAAACATTAATGTTTTACACGTTTGTTTTCTCGTCAACTCATTTACAATTTTTTCTTATTATTTAAGTCAAGAGGTCGGGCGTTCAGATTCAAACGGTGGGAACTTTGATTTACTTAGTATTTTATCAAGATGGTTGAGATTTGAGAATAAGAAATTATTGATCAACATGTGCTATACTTATTTTTTATTCAAATTAATTTTTGCTTCCATTATATATAATTTTTTTCAGTTTTGATCTTGGTGTTGGGTTTGAGTTTGAGTTTGATTTCAATAGGATCCATTCAATCAAGGCAACTAAGATCAATTTTTTTCAAACCATGGTGTCATCCATGCACCATATTAAAAATGTCCAAAGCAAATTTGAATTGTGCGACTAAGTTAAAGCAGGCCATAGATGGTTGATTTACAAATAAAAACGTTTAGCTTTGCTTGTACCATATCTTTAAATATTTTAAGTTCTCCTATTCCATTACCATTTCTCGTCTTTCCAAAAGATTGAAATTGGAGACACCTCGACATCTATACAATTAAACTTTTGGACATTTAGATTTGAAATTGTCATTGCATTCGACAATGTCTACATTTCTTGACATTGTATAATTTCTCGACTGCTTAGAAAGGCATATTAGTACTGAATATATTTAAATTAAGAATTTTGTGATTGTAAAGAAGAAAGATATGATATACCTTTTGCAACAAGAACAATGACATTCGAAAAGAACTACGATGGTAATAACAACAACAACTAATGTCATGGTGGTGGCAATGTCAACATGACATTAGCCGTGAAATAGAAGAATGTAGATTTTGATTTTGAGATAGAAGAGAGAATAAGATGATAAAGAGAAAGAGAGATAAATGTTGCAGAGAAGGAAAAATAAAAATACTGGGGAGAAGCAAAGATGGATTACATATATATTTTTTTTTTTTTTTTTTTTTTTAAGAAAAGCGAAAAGGATGGAGGAAATAACTTTTCAGGGGAGATGTGTAGTCTCATCCTATCACTACTTTAATTTGTCTTAGCTAAGTCACCTAACTTCAATTTATTCTCGATTTTCACACGTTGTTACTTTACATTGGGGAGAAGTAAAGATGAATCATGTTTTTTAAGAAAAACGAAAAAGATGGAGGAAATAATTTTTCACGAGAGATGTATAGTCTCATCCTATCACTACACTTTAATATGGGTGGACCCAAGGGGATCACGTGATCCCCCAACTTTTGATTTTTTGAATTTTTTGATATATATATATATTTTGTTGATAAGACCCGTTTCATATAGCTTAAAATCTAAATTTTAATTTAAATCAAAGACAATAGTTAATTTTAATAATATATCTCATGGAATCCTTAACTTTTTAACTTTTATCAAAATATACTAAAAATATGATTTTAACCTCCACCAAACAGGGGCAAAATAACAATAAACTTGAATTTTTTTCTCATTTCTCTTACTCTATCTTATACTCTCAGTCGCATCTTTTATCAAAACTTTTACCTTTCTAATTTTTTAAAATTTGTCTATAATTTTTCTACAAATTATCACATCTATTACAATTTTTTTACTTTCCAATCAAATTTTCAATTAATTAGAACTTGAATTTGCATTTTTTCCTATCTTATTTGTGTACATAGAAAGTGTCCGAACTGATTGTATCAAATTTAACTTATATTTAACGAACTATATTTATTTGATTGAATATTGGTTTTATGTTTTTCCTTTAGATTACTTGAATTGATTGTTTGTATTAAATACACTATAAAATTTTTAAACCTAAATATGCATTTTCTTGTGATGAGCAACATATTAATGAAAAAATGTTTTTCTTGTAATAAAATGACCGTTCGAAATCAAATGGATGAAATGATGAGCAAAATATTAACGAAGAAATGTTTTTTAAATATAAATCTGTATTTTCTCAAGTCGAGTATAAAACATTCAAAAATCAAGAACAAAATATGTGGTTTGTGCAGAGTTTGATTGTGCCCCCTATCTAGAAAATTCTGCGTCCGCCACTGCTAATTTGTGTTAACCGAGTCACATGACTTCAAATTATTCTCAATTTTCACACTTCGTTACTTCACATTGTGGAGAAGTAAAGATGGATCACATTTTTAAGAAACGCGAAAAAGATGGAGGAAATAATTTTTCATGGAGATGTGTAGTCTCATCCTATCACTAAACTTTAATTTATCTTAACCAGGTTACCTAACTTCAATTTATTCTCAATTTTCACACTTCGTTACTTTCCATTATCCATATTGTAGAGTTCGGCTACATAATTGCCACAGAACACCCTAGTACAGGAAAATAGTAAAATCACTGTTTGGTGGAGATTAAAATTAGATTTGTAATAGATTTCGATAAATTTTATAAAATGTGGTGTTAAAAAGTTGCGGGACCAATAAAATTGAAATCTTATTTTAATCAATACCAAACATGGACGGAATAAAGACTACTGTAATATCTTTAATTTAAAATGTTAAAAGACGTATGTTCTCTTTTAACGCTTATACGTGGCATAGTGGTAATTAAGTTGGCATGGCATACTGCAATTATGTGAAAGATCTATCGATTTCGGACCCCATAAGTAATGAAGTGAAATTTTGACCCAATTAAAACTATGTTGTATTTTCAACTTGTCCCTCCAAAAGTGATTAATTTTGACAATTTTCCACTTTTGTCCCTATTATTTGAAATTATAATTTATGAAATAGTTTTTTTTTTTGGGAGAATATGTGATAAAAAAAAAAGAAAAATTTTTCGATATACTTGTAATCTTATTTTATGGAAAGATTATATGATTAAAAATAATAGAAGAAAAATAAATTTTTGAAATAATAAAAACCAAACAGGGGCCTTAGTTTCGACATGGCAGGAAATTTTTTTATTACTACAATATACTTTATTTTTGAAAAGACTAGACTAACCAATAAATCATTTGTCTTTGGTAGAAATTATGAACTAAATACTCATGAAAGTATAAGTCGAATACTGGAGGACTAGATAGAGCTAGATAGTACTAGACAAGAGAAAATAAGATGAATGTTTTACTATATTTTTGGTCCTATTGAACTTGTTGTAGTTTGGCCCAAATTCTAGTAGGTATTAAAGTTTTGGTTGAAATGATCTTAAAGAGATCAAAATTATGGACCGAGAAGAAAAGTCACCGTATTTTTGCCAGCCTGTCGCTAAAGTGGTGCTTGATTTTTTTCTCCCGAGACTTGTTGCTCATTTGCCTCTCGAGCAACAGAGTTGTCGCTTGTCTACTGCTAGCATGTTGCTCGAGCAATAGTGTCATCAAACTCAAACCAATTTCACATTTTAACACGTTTTCTGGACTTCTATTCATCTACAACTTGGTTCTTAAGGTTATATATAAGTCATGACTTGTGTTGTTGAGATAACAATTTATACAATATTTTGAGAGTTTTAGATCTTAATTGAGAGTATCAAGATTTTGTTGTAAATGCAATTGCTATTGATTATAATGAAATTTTCTACCTCTAATTTTTTCTCATTTTGGATTTTTTCATATATCTTGGTGTTCTTATTGTGTTCCTGTTTATTTTATTATTGTCATTATCTTGCGATCAATTCATAACAAATGATATTAGGAAAATGGCGATTATTCTACATGGTAATGATGAAATACGACATTTCGTTATTGAATCGAAACACTAAATTTATTCAATGGCAAGTGAAGATGCGAGCAATTATCGCAGAGATGAATTTAGAGAAAGCTTTGCTTGGTTTTGATAAAAATGCCTTCAACCTAGATACATGATAAAAAGTAGTATAGGGATCGAAAAACCCAATCTCAAATTTATCTTCATCTATCAAATCAAAATTTTCAGAATATTCTAAAAGAGAAAAGTGTCGTTGCTCTGTAGTTGAAATTGGAGCAGTTTTGTATGACAAAGAGTTTGAACAGTAAGTTACACTTGAAGCAATGCTTGTGTTCTCATCGGATGTGCAAAAGTATGGCATTGGATGATCACTTAACTATGTTCAAAGAAATCGTTGTCAATTTGGAGAAAATGAGTTAAGTATGATAATGAGGATTTGGCATTAATGTTGTTGTGTTCGTTACCGCTATCATATGTGACTTTTAAAATAATATTCTCTGTAGTCGGGATATTCTTACTGTGGATGAGGTTTATGATGCTTTACTATCTAAGAAGAAGATGAGGGATCTTGCAAGTGAATCTGGGAGTCAGGCTGAAGGC